TAAATGAAGATAAAAAATAAATGTGGGCAGCACTGAGGGGTTGAAGGTCATCAAATCTCAGTAACATGACCTCTCAGCTAAGGAGTTTATCTTCTAATTTATGTATTTGAAGTGATTCACTACTTAGTAAATATATTACAAATCCTGTTTTTCCAGGATGGTGTTTCCAGCTTTCATATTTTCATTTCTTGACAAATAAATCTCTAGTAAAATGTCATTACGTTGGATCACAGTACAACCCAATTAGACATTACTTGGGCCGCTTTGCTGGCATTCAGTGCTCTCATGTCCCAGTTTGGCTTTTCAATGTCTCTCTCCTCTTCATTGACTGATATCATTAACTTGCCCTCTGCTGTTCCTTTTCCTGGGAAAGCTTAGCTGCCTAGGAATGTGTACTTCCCATCTCCCTGTCTTTAGTGTCAGTTATATCTTATGTCTCTCAGTATGACCCATAGGGCTTTGCACAATAATCAATAAATACTGATTAACTGATTAATGCATAATACTTTTCCCAAAGTATTTCTGCAAGTGGCTCAGTGTTTTCATAAAAAGATAACAGTGTGTGTGTATATATGTACATATTTATGTGTGCCGGTATGCATATATACTTACATGTGCATATACATATGAGAAATTTAGCAAATTGCAATATTATTTAATTAGAAAAAATGAAAAGAGAAATTGTAAAATTATTTCTTATTGAAATAGAGTTAAAACATACTTATAATATGATCAATTATTGGGAAGAATATAATTATTGGGAAGTTTTTTTGAGATAATAAATACTTTGAATTAAAAAAATTTTTGATTTCCTTTAGGGCTTAAAAACTAGTGGTGATAACTGGTATTACCATTGCTATGGTTAAAGTTACTTTTCGTATGTGGTATGAATCTTAAGACAAAATCTATTGATCTTCATGTCAAATCAATGTAAATGTAGAGATGGAGTAAATAGCTATTGCTGGAGAATTAAATTTAGAATAAGTGCTCATTTTCTTCATTTCAATACATCTAAACAAAATCAACTTAAGGCAAGCTATTTTCTTAGCCAATTTTTAGTAAACTGAGACTTAGAGAAGATAAAAATTAGGGTCACAAACTATTCATTATATGAGGTCACTTGACAGCAAATGTTAAATTCTAGACTTTATACTCTTCTATTTTAAATGAGACCCAATTTGATCACATCTCTTTTAAGCCTTGGAAATAGGAATGAAAATTAAAAGTACACTGAGCACTTAAGAGATTGAATTGATTAAGAATTTGGAATGTAGAAACTATGAAATGAGGTAAAAGTAATTGGGATTACTGGCCAATAATCTCAAAAAGAAAAACATACCTCATACCAAAGTATTCTCCTTAATCTAGTGTATTGTGTAAAATTACTGAAATAAGTAAGGTTCTTGAGTTAAACTTGAATTTGTATCTTGGAACCATCATGCAGTAGCTGTGTGATTCAGGAGAAGTTACCAAGTTTCTCTAAGTCTCAGATTTCCCAAGTGTGAAGTGGGGATGAAAATATTGTCTTTGAAGATTATTGTGTAGATTAAATGAGGCAAGCCTACAAAACATTTAGCACAATATCTGGATTAAAGTTAGTGCTTTAAAATGAATCGTTCTTTTTCCAGTAGTGGGAGAATTAGGTTAGTTAGCCAATGGAAACGTGGGGCAGGGCCCTAGAGAAAGTGATGTAATTTGATGATCATCACAAGGAACTGTAGTGTTTGGCTAAAAACATCTTCATCAACTCCTATTATTATTTCTGGAATCTTCACCTTTAGAATACTTACTGTGAATAGGGAGTAATCTTGATTATATCTTTATAAAATGGGTGTAAAGATATCAGAACCCATTATGACATTAACAAGGATTTGCCTTTTCAGATTAGCTAGCTGTCAAAGGGATTTTTTTTTTAACAAAAAAATTTTGTGAATGGGTTGGGATTCAAAGTTCTAGATTTCTGCTTCTGGTGAATGCCAGAGTTCTTTGGTAATAAGATCATGTATTCTCAAAGCCACAGGATAAATAGGGTACTCCCACATGTGAAGGAGGGTGAAGTCAGTTTTACTCAGTAGAAAATACTTTTTACATTGTTGTATGTTAAATAACAGATATTTATAAGAAAAATGCAAAATGATGTTTTTTAAAAAGTTACATATGAGGTTTTAAATACATTTTAAAAGAGTCAAACACAGCCCGCCTGCCCCCCGCCCCCGACTGAGGTGTAGGGGTATGTGAAATTGTCCAAAGCTGCTTATGTTTTTACTAACGATTTCATAAAAATTCAGCTTTTTAAGTTACACTATGTATGTATTCAGGGGAATGTCCTTCAAGACCGTGATGCTCATTCACAAGGCTAACTCATCTGGGCAGCTCAGTCTAGTTCAGTAATTCTTAAGTTCCTGCTATGTATTGGATTCCAGGGCTATGTTCTACAGAGACAAAAAATGGGTAGGACAGTTGTTTTTCTACTGAAAATCTGCTGTCCATTAACTTCTTTCATTTGTAACTAGGAACAGAAAGCAAGCAGTTTTGTCCTCAGTTCTTACATTGAAATGTTTCATTTTAAGCCTGTTAAATTAAGCAGTCTAATGAAATCACCATATTAGTTGTTTTTGTTTCAACTTGAGAACCCAAGATTGCTTATTCTAGGACCAAAATAAAGTCACAATGATGTGGAGCTTGAACTCCACCACCAACCAACCTTTTGTTGTTGTTGTTATGCATAATGTTCTTGGGTGAATGTTTTTCCACTTGAAATATAAAATAGGAGTTCCTCCCACCCTGTTTCCTGAACAAGTCTGTGCCAGAAACCTGGTCCAAAGACATCTGGGCAACTGGTACTTCTGAAAAACATTTGACTTATAATCCTTTTGAGGGACAGTTCTTAACTCTGTAGGAACTTCCTTAAAACTTACTGGCCGACTTCAACATGAGTGACACACTTAGAGCTGATGTGGGAGACAGAGTACCAGGGTGGTGCCCTGGCAAGAATTTTTACTTTGTGGCACTCTCTGACTCAGAATAACCACCACTGATGAGCAATTAACATTTTTAGCTGTGTTGCTGGATCCCTTAATTTGCCATATGAGTTAGTTATATTTTAAGTTTGTAGACAATTCTGGGATTATTTGAGCAGGTTGATTGAATAATTTTCCTTTAACCAATTTCTAGAAAGTTAAATCAAGTAGATGGGCTCTAAAATTCCAGGTTTGAAATAAATAAGTGATTAGTTAGTAATCAAACTAAGAAGATTGGTATTTCTTGTAATAGGAGTAGGCCACTAAATATATATGTAGGAAAATATTCATTTGTATTTAATAAAAAATACATCAAAAGAAAGAGAGTCTGTTATTTGGCTCTGAAATAATAACACTTACAAAGCTTGTTTTACAAATTATGTGGTATTTTCAACTGCTTTACTCATCCATAAGTTATACCAAGACAGTTACTCATTTTTATTGCCTGCACCATCTGCCCCCATGTAATTCATTAATTCAAACATTTATGGAGTTACTTCTGTGAAGCAGGTCCTGGGTAATTCAACCATGATCAAGTGCTTGGCCCCATCCTCAAGAAAATTCCCAAGCTACCCAGAGATATGCATAGGTCATTCTAGTTGTGTCTGATAAGCTTGAGAGCAGTGGGTAAAGTCAATAGAAAGAAAAATATAGGGTTTCATAGAGATGGTGGCCCTGGAGTTTAGCCTTGCAGGAAATGCACAGGGGGTTTCATAGGCACAGAAAAAGAATAATGGGCATTCTAGACAAAGGCACCATGAAATAGATGAATAGAAGGGAGTAAAAGTTAGAAAAGGCAAGTGAAGTTGTGACAAGATTTGAAAGGATCTGAGGTTACCAAGGAATTTGGATTGCTTATAAGCATAGAGTATTTTTATAGTTCTGAGTGACATAGTCAAACATGTTTTTTACACGTTTTGTTTTTTCCTTCTCATTTGTTTACCGAAGTGGCTTGATTTAACCTAACTTTTGTAGTAGAGGAAATGAAATATATTAAAGTCATGAAACACACTGTGAAACTTCTGTCTCCTAAATTTTTATTCATTGCCTTCCTTAAGTAAGTTTATTATTATTTACTATAAAAAATACAGTTATATGCACTACCAGAACAAAGCTGAGAGATTGGGCATCTGTCTCTGACAAAAGAGCATAAATACTCTAGAAGAATTATCTCTGGTGGTTCTTTTAAAGTTTGAAGATGTAAAGGAAGCCACTTATCATGATGCCTAACGAAGTTTTAGATACACAACTGGACACCATATAATAGAAATTAAAACACTAGTGAAGATATACTGCCAACATTGGACATTTTAAGCTTTTTGGTTTCAAAGTTGATTACTTTGGAAGAAGGGAGCCATGAACTCATGATCATCAAGTCTATGTTCCATGGGGTGAGGACTGCTGTTAAAGGCCCTGCACAGAAAGAGATCCTAGGGCTTTTCATGAAAGATGCCATGAACAGTCGATCCCTCTCCAGGAAAGGAAGGTGTCGGCAGTCAAGTGGATAGAGCCAGAGACTGGGAGTTAAAAGCCCACTAAACTTTCCAGAGTAAAACAAGAAAGAAGAACCAGTTGTGTGTAAGGAAGGGAGATGGAAGCACTGTAGAGCAAGGTTGGAACTGGAAGGCTGAGGAAATTCAAAACTTAGGCCATAAATACCAGAATCTACCTGGGTTTTTCATTCATATGGGCCCAGATGTGCTACAAAAGAATAAGAGAAGAGTTTAAAGGACCTACTATGGAGTTATAGCTAAATTCATCTAAGCCATAAAAAGTAATAGGACAAGTAATTATAGTATTAAGTATATTAGTAAGACTAAAAAAATTACTAATTAAACAATTATATGTTTATAATTTTGGGAAGAATTTCACAGTCACAAAAATAAATAAAAAAAGGAAACTATTTTTATGAGACTACATTTCTCAAGCCCTGAATATACAAAGAGGTAATTCAGTTTCTGTCTCCTCTGTTTTCCCTAGGATTGAATTTTTCTAAAAATTTAGATCTTGATGATAAGAAAAGAAATATGGAAGAATATATGACCAAAAGAATGAGTTTCCTTTTCACCATAGCCACAGAAAGTTGTTGACCTCCTTGGATGAAAAAAAAGTCATAAAGGATCTAAAAAAGGGGAGAAACTGTTGGATCCTGAGATGGGGGAACTGGACCTAGAGTGACTACAAAGGTAAGAGTGGGAAACATCCAGGTATGACCCAATCCCTATGAAATGAGGAACATCACTTGCTAGCACCTAGCAGCTGCACTGCCTATTCAATGTCTGCCCATCATTCATGGGACTACCAGTTGCATTTGAGAAAGCAGAATATATCATCCATACCTAGACCCACTGACTTAGAAGAACTCTTACAATTTAACAATAATAATAAAAAAATTTTTTAAATGGACAAAGGCTATAAATACCCATTTATGTAAAGAAGAGACAAACATAACCAATATGCAGTGTGAAAAGAGTTAAACATAATTAGTTAATGGTATGAAAACCACAATGAGATAATACTTGACACCTACCAGGATGACCATGACAGTAACCAGCATTGGCAAGGATGTGAAAAAATTAACACTCTTCATAGATTATAAAATGGTGCAGCCAGTTTAGAAAATATTAAGCAATTTGTAAAAAAAGTTAAACACAGAATTACTGTATGACTCTACAATGGCACTCCTAAGTATCTATACATACCCAAGAGAAATGAAACATGTATCTCACAAAAACTTCTACACAAATGTTTATAGTGGTGGAATCAACCCAAATATCCATCAATTGATAAATGGAAAAATAAAAGGTGGTATATCCATACATAGAATATTATTCAGCTACAAAAAGGCATAAAGGGGGGAGTCTAGTAAACATAATGTTCCTCATGTGATTGTAGATACTAAAAAAAAAGGAATAAAGTACTAATATATCTTCAATAGGAGTGAGCCTTGAAAATGTGCAACATGAAAGAACCCAGACACCGAAGTCCACGTCATTTATGGGAAATGTGCAGAATAGGCAAATCAATAAAGAAAGAGATTAGTGGGTACTAGCGTTTGGAGAGAGACGAGAATCAAAAACAGCTGCTTATTTATAAGGGGAGTCTGTTTTGGGGGGTGATAAAAATGTCCTAACATTAGATAGTAGTGATGGTTGCACAATTCTATGAATATACTAGAAAGTACTAGAATTATATACTTTTAAAGTTTAATTGTATATTATTGCAATAAAACTTTTATTTCAAAATAATGCCCTGCTGATAAGTTGCAAGGGATGGGTTGAGACTAAGAGGTCTAGTATATGCCCGGTAGTAGAATTAGTGAAGAATGGCTTATTTTACTTTTGGTAAAACCAGCTGGGCTATGTGTCTACACTGGTGTATCAGGAATAATGAATGGTTCACAACTACTTCTTTTTAAGCTTTTTGTTAATATATAGAGATTTTACAGCAGAATAGTTTGTAGATTTTAGTTTAAAATATTCTGCAGCAATTTGGCTGCTATGCATATAGATGCAGAACAGGTGAAAAATAATACATTCTTTTCCAGTTCTCAACTTGACATATGAAGTACCATACTGACAATGATTACAAAACCGAAAAAACAACCACCAGCCTTCTTCAGAATAAATATTGTTTGTTTAAATGATAGTAGTTTGTTTACTATTTGGTTGAAGCAGTGATTCATTAATATCTACTAATTAGAACATGTTAGGCAATATACAATTCACTCAAAATATCCATTGACCACAAAATTTAAGGCACTTGCATAAAGTAGATAAGAAAACAACAAACTGTATAGAGTATATTCAATGGCAAAGTGGTCATGACAGAGAAACACACTCTCCATTTGCTCTCATCCCTGTTGTTGCATCCATGATTATAATTATTCTAATAGAGTTAGAAGTCCTAAAATTGCAAACAGGAAGAAATACTGAAAATAAAATCTCAACAACTAAGCAACTTCTGGTGATTTGTAATTAACCAGTTGCTTATTTTAAGAATTATTTCAACCCTATTTATTAAGCAATTAAATGGGGTTCAAAGTTGACAAAATGAAATAGACTTGAAGTGACTGTGTATGCTTTAATTTTCTTAACAATTGTTAGAAACAAACAAGCAAACAAAATACTAGGCTGTTCTTCAGTCAAAACTAATCAACAATAAATTAAGTCTGGTGTGTCCTAACACTTAAAATACATGTAGGACTGTGTGTGTATGTGCAAGATCTCACAACACAAACACATACACACATAGACACATTCTAGTACATCATTTACATTATGACACTGTCTATGTAGAACACAAGCTGAGGTAAAGCTTAGTTTTACATGGCTCTTTGCAATATTTTACCCTTTTGTTTCCTTTATTACCTTTACATTACAGCTTCACCGGTTTCTAAGTGATATTATCTTTCACCATTGTTTGTGAAGATTTAGTCTTTTGCTAAATTTAAGGGCAGTTATGACACTTCATAAACATTCAAAGAAAAAATTTAGTAGGTAGTATTTGGATGCCATTTTATAACTATTGAGAATTGTTCCATTTATTGTTATATTTAAATTTCATAATTTCCCCTAATTTCAAATTAGGAAGACTGAGTAGATATCTCTAACTTACTTTAGTTTTCAGAAATCAAGAGCCACACAATAACTGGATTTGCCAAAATTGAAAACCAGCTCTGGAGATTTTTGTTTTTTGTTTTTTGATTCTGTATACCCACAATTTGGGAAATTTTTAAAGAGAATTTTTAGAAAATTTACTTATGGTAAGTCAGCATTTTAATTCTTGTATGTTTGTAGTAAATACACACAAAATATTTGAATAAATCTGTAGGACACATCTGTTTCCTGTTCATTGTGCACATCAAGTTGTAAGCTTTCATTAATGAAAAATGGCATGTGGAAACCTGAAGAAATGACAATAGCAGTGATCATGTTTTTCAGCTCTCACTGATAATGTGGGAACTGATTATTTATCTCAAAAGCTTTTACAAAATAAAGCAAACCTTAAAGTTAGAAAGTAAACCTTGAAATGATAAACCTTGAAACCAATAGTAATAATGAGTTTCAGTAAAGAACTCAAGTGATTTTTTTTTAAGTTAACATTTCTTAAGTATTTGCCCAGGTTATATTTTGTTAATTTTATGATGCTGTCAAGTTGATGCCTACATGTGTGCAATGCATATTATTTTATCTTTTAGGTGACACCGGTGGTTGAAACACCAGAACTCATTTTCTACCTAAATAGGTGTGCAGCTTTTAATTAAGTTTATATTTTGGGCAATTTACCAACTTTTGACTTGGAAGAAAATGTATTGATGTTTGCCCTTTAATCTTAATTTGCTAAATTAAGAAATCTTAGTTTAGGTCTTAAAAATCTAGATTTAAGAATTAGAAATTCTTTGATGAGAAGACATGTCTAACTTTATCTTATTTGGAGTGGAATCTATTTATTATTTAAACACATATCAAGACATGGAGAACTAAAAAAAATTGTAATGAGGCAAAGAAGAAATCGCCTCTGTCTCCTTTCCTCTTTCTTCCCTTTTTCACCTCCTTTGTGGGAAAGTTTTTGCAGTCTGTTTCTTTTCTGTGGAGATCAATGTTCCTTCACTAGGAATGAGGCATCTCTGGCCACATACATAAATGTATGTATGTATATATGCATGTATTTATTTCCCAGTCTGTCAGCCACAACCCAGCAAATAATGAAAGTTACAACCAGCTGGGGTTTGAATAGAGTTCAATAAAGGGGCTGTTCACAGAGATGTAGTTAGGGTCAAGAGAACCAGCAAAGCATGTTGGGTCATGAACTATTCCTACCCTAGGCCTCACATGGCATTACCAGTGAGAGGTGGAGTCTTAGAAGTGAATGGGTGTCCAATAGAAGCTGTCCTTGTAGAAGGAGGCAGCCAGTGGGGTGGACTGAGGATGGGGATAGACCTTAGGGTGAGAGGGAGCGAGTGAGGGTGCAGGAAATACCTGCTTTCTCCCTTCTTCTCTCCAATATTCTGCCAAGAGCTCCTATTGGCCTAACCTTTCAATGGCAAGGGACGTGGATGATTCCAACTGTAAGGGTCAGTCTCCCTGGAACACAGAGCAGAGTGGAAAGGGCAGGCAATGGATCAGGGTTGGGGATGTAACTGGAGAATAACCAGTACCCACGTCCAGTGCTTCATTTTCTTAGTCTGGCTGTCTAACTGGCTAGGTGAACTGACCTCTCACAGCTTTTAAGTGTGTACTTAAATAAGTGAGCATTCCTTCCCAAATGTCTGGGACAATGCATTATCTGTGAGGCCACCTGACTAAGGCAGGCAAGTTGTCCCTCTGCCCCTGCTCTAACCCCTAAGACTCCAAATTATTGGTGGTGTTATTTGGGGGGATGAGTTTTCCAATATGTCCCTCTAATTTTCAGTTCTTCATGTCTCAGATTTAATTTACCAGTAGGAATCCAAGTCAGGACCAGAGTCCTGAAGGAGAGTCCCTGGGAGTTCTTATACAGAGTTTGGTACTGATTTGCCTGGTGGGCTACAGCCCCTTCACGTAACTTCAATTGGATCAAGACTTTGATCATCATATTGGCCCATGCCTTGAGGATAGCAGCTCCTCAGAGGTGCTCAGGGACTCTGTTTATACTCAAAGCATTCACAGGCATAGTCCAGTTAGACAAAAATATCCCAGACTGGAAGGAAGGGCCCTTGTCCAAAACTCTGAAATATTATGTTTCTATAAAATGAAAACAATTTGAAACCCAATTCAATATTCAGTTCCAATTAGCACTGGAGGTTCAGAACATATGTACTCTACAGTTTGGTGAAAAATATATTTGAAATTAACTTTCCTGTGTTACAGTTGTGTATAGCTCTGGTTCTCATTTTAGGAAGGAATCTTCTTGCCAAAGGCACTACAATCATCCCTAAAAATTGCATCTGTTTGTTATCATGTAAACATGGACTAATATGAAGATAATTAAATATTATTAATGAATCTTATTTTCCCATGTTTTGATGGCTAAATTCACCTCTGTAGGAGGTCAGGGAAAAGCTGTGGACAACACATGGAATTAACTGCTACATTCTACTGAATGGCATCATTCATCTGATTAGACTATAGAGGAATTAAATACTTTAAAAATATGGAGAAACTTAGGACCAGTACTATGACTGTTATTGCTGTAGAATGCCCTT